TCGGTCTTTATTGGAGAAGATCTGATGCTTATTAGCGCATAGTGGTTTGGAGAAGATCTTTTGGACTGAGACACTTTCATATGCGAGCCACCTCATTAATAGGCTGCCTTTATCTGCGATTGAGGGGAAAATCCCTATGGAGATGTGGTCGGGAGAGATAGCACATGACTATGACCAGCTCAAGGTATTTGGTTGCCCTGCATATTATCATGTTAGAACTGATAAGTTGGAACCTCGAGTTAGGAAGGTCATATTTGTAGGATTCAAGCGTGGTGTCAAGGAATACAAGCTTTGGGATCCAGTTGATAAGAAGATTGTGCTGAGTAGGGACGTCACGTTCGATGAAGCTTCTATCTTGAAGCTTCCCAGCTCTCATTAGGTGGAGAGCGACCCGACAGAGGAGACATCGCAGGTGGTGGAGATCAATGCAGCTTCACAGTGTCCAGATGGTGTAGTATCCATTAGAGTGCTGACTGAGGTGACATCGAGAGAGCACAAAGGTGACACGAAGGATATGGGTACTGATGTGCAGGATCAGGGACCGACGGCTCAGGTTCAGGATTCTATTATGGTTTGGAGACAGAGGAGAGACATACGGGTGTCAGCACGGTATGCCGACACAGTTACATATGTACTTTCGGTAGAGAGTATCGATGAGATGGTGCCTACTACATTCAGAGAGATCGAGCAGAGTTCAGAGGCTGATTCGTGGCAGTTAGCTATGCAGGAGGAGATGGAGTCTCTTCATAAGAACGATACATGGGAGCTTGTTGAGCTTCCAAAGGGGCGGAAGGCGATTGGTTGCAAGTGGGTATACACGAAGAAGGAGGGCATTGACGGTACTCCATTGAGATTCAAAGCTAGGTTGGTTGCGAAGGGCTATGCACAGGAGGAAGATATTGACTATAATGAGGTTTTCTCTCTGGTGGTGAAGCACTCTTCGATTCAGATTTTGTTAGCTTTGGTGACACGGTATGGATTAGAGTTAGATCAGTTGGATGTGAAGACCGTATTTCTTCATGATGATCTTGATGAAGAAATATATATGACTCAGCCAATACGATTCCGAGCTATAAGGAAAGATAAGTTGGTTTGCAGATTAAAAAATCGTTATACGGTTTGAAGCAGTCTCCTCGATAGTGGTATAGGCGGTTTGATGGTTTTATGCTTGTTCATTCGTACACTCGGAGCCAGTTTGATCCTTACGTGTATTTTCACAAGTTGAGAGGAGGTGCGTACATTTATTTGTTATTTTATATCGATGACATGTTGGTTACCTCTATTTTCAGGTCGGCTATAGATGAGTTGAAAGTTCAGCTTTCAAATGAGTTTGAGATGAAGGGCTTGGGCGAGGCAAAGCGTATTTTAGGGATGGAGATTGGCAGAGACAAGAAGAAGGGCAGAATTTGTTTGATACAGGTGGCTTATTTGAAGAAGGTTTTACAGCGATTTCATGTTAGCATGGATACGAAGCCAGTTAGTGTACCATTGAGAGCCCATTTGAAGCTTTCAGCTGGTCTTTCACCAAAGTCAGTTGAAGATCGAGAGTTGATGTCGAAGACTCCATATGCGAGCGCAGTTAGGAGCTTAACGTACGCGATAGTATGTACGAGGCCGGATTTGTCACAGGCAGTGAGCATGGTTTCGAGATACATGCACGATCCAGGAGTGGGTCATTGGGACACCATGAGATGGATTTTGAGGTACATTAGAGGTACGCTCAATGTTGGTTTGGTTTATGAGCGGGACACTATAAGTGGATAACTATGCATTGGCTATGTTGACTTGGATTATGTCGGGCATTTGGATAAGCGTCGGTCTACGACGGGATATGTGTTTACTTTGACCCGTGCGTCGGTGTGTTGGAGATACACATTACAGTCTACGGTGGCTTTGTCTATGACGGAGGCAGAGTATATGGCGATTACAGAGGCTGTGAAGGAGGCTATTTGGCTTCAAGGACTTTTGGAGGAACTTGGTACATCACAGCGGTCCGTCACCATTCATTATGATAGCATGACTGCTATCTATTTGGCGAAGAATCAGGTTTTTCATGCGAGGACGAAGTACATTGACGTTCGTTATCACTTCGTTCGGGATGTTCTTGAAGATGGCGATGTGGAAATTGTGAAAGTCCACACAAAGGATAATCCGGCGGATATGCTCACTAAGATGGTTCCGAGCAACAAGTTTGATCATTACAGAAACTTGTTGCATATTCGTAATTGTTGAGGCCGTTGGCGGCCATTTGGATGAACTACAGACGACTTGATCCCTTGGGAGAGGGGGTACATAGGCAACCATGTAGGTGCAGTCGTGTTTGGAGAGACGACGCATTGGTGCTCTTTATTTGGTGTCGGCTCAGTTTTAGCAAAATTTCGCCGAGGTGGAGAATTATGGAGAAAACCAGAAAAAAAAAACTAGTTTTTCTGTCATAAGTCGACTCATGCACAGGCATAAGTCGACTTATGGTAAGTCGACTTGTGTCTGTGCATGAGTTGACTTACGTTCTGCTCTGGAGTTGTAATTTTTCGCTCTGTCAAGTCGACTTGTGAAGCATGTTAAGTCGACTTACGAACTGTTCTCTAGTTGCTGTTTTTCTCTCTGCCAAGTCGACTTATGGCACCTGTTAAGTCGACTTATGATGGGTTTTTTGCACAGGTTGGTTTCCTGTTTGGACTTTGTTTGGGTTTTTGTTTGGATATAAATAGGGACACGATTTTCTACGGTTTTACATCAGAGATTTGAGAGATTCAGAGAGGCTATTGAGCATTATGAGAGGGAGATATTGTGAGCAAGTTGAGAGCTTTGGTTGAGGATTACTTTGAGTGATTTTATGTGATTGTAACCATTTTGTACTCTCCTTGATTTAGTGGAATCTCCCCATCTTCTCCCCGTGGACGTAGGAAAATTGCCGAGCCACGTATATCTCTGTGTTTAGTTGGATTTGTCGTATTTGGATTGGATTGTGCCTGTGTGTGGTCATCTTCTTCCCGTGATCTCAGACTCGTTCGGTGTGCGCGTGTAGTACGCTTCCGCATAGGCGCATGACAAACCCAAGTTTGAAAGCATCTGACATTTCATTGAGCATCGTATCTCGTACGGCTGTTCGTTTTCATTATCCTGGACGCCATAACCCATGGAACCTAAATCAATTTATTTAAAGTTTTTAATGAGATCCACTTCGAAGACCATGCGAGTTATTATTTGATTGCTTTGGCCATTCAAACGAATTTGGTATTTAAGTTACCTACTCTGAGTAGGTCGATCATGTTCCAAGGCGCACGGACAGATTCCGTAGGCTCTCAGAGAAGAAAAGCTCGCACATGGTACTCTTTAAGTCAACATAATATATATTATCTCTCTCTTTGCACCTTCTATAACTTGACATTTGTATAGTTTGTGTTGCATAAAAAGATTGATAGTTTTTGCGTTGCATAAAAAGATTTCTTGCCACCTCTGGTGTCGATGTTGTCTGCTTTTTTATGCTAGATTTATTTCCTACCAGTTCATTAAAGCTTTGACCCAGATTGACCTTTTGATCCACATCAGCTTGATGCTAAAGGGATTGCACATGCGATTCATCTACTTGTCCAAAATTTTTTAGAGGTGTGAGCCTTACTTTTGTAAAAATAATTACTTGTTCGATGTCGTTTGCTTTTCAATTCTCATTCTTTTTAACACTTCTTCAGTGAATTCTTTGATTGCATCATTTTGTGCTTTCTTCTGTACGTTGTGTTAATTTTTCTCTCTTTCCTTGCGTTTTCCTTTTCGCATGATCAAACACATTGGAACATCTGCTGCAGCCTATATTTTCGCATGATTGGAACACATTGGAAAATGCTCTCGAAGTTGGAAAACAAATCTAAACAATTAACAAATGTTCGTTCACTTTGACAATTTGACTAAAATGCTCCTATAGGTTACATGCCATGAATGCATCATGTGCGCCAAAATACTAGTAATCAAAGTTGGATATTCGACCAAGAATAAAATATGTAGTTTGTGAAGATCATACAACAAAAATATTGTCCAAGCAAAATTATACACTGTTAACAAGAATGTGATTATCAATATTTGTTGGTTTTCCTCCCTCTGACGCTTTAACTTAGTCCTTGAAGATGATGGAGTAACCAAGCAAATCTAGAGTTATACTTGCGTGTGCCTTCTTCTTCTCCCTAATTAGAGTGTTTTATACGATTGTGATAGCTATTTTGGAGAATATCCTGAATCTTGTCATAACTGAATAAGAAGACAATGCCTCTATTGAACTAGACTACAAGTCTATAAATATATATATATTTTTTAATAATGAAGCTACCGAGAATCGAACCTAGGATTTTGAGAGCCATATTAAAACATTCCAACCATCCAGGTCACCCTCATTGGCATTACGCACATTCAAGCACCTACCGTATAAAGCATATCCAGATCATAGTTGACGTATTATATGTGCTATGTCAGCAAACACAGATAGACACCCAGGGTTGAGTTCATCAGCTTTAATGTTTGTAAAGCTGCAGCATACCCCAACTCGACAAGGCCAGTTTGCCTGCACTTGCAGTTCAAATTCTATCATTCTTATGGTAAGGTAGGTATCCGTATCAATTCTTTTAGCAGCGGAGACGAGATTTTAACTTTCTTTTTTTTTAACAGTACCAAGATCTCCAAAGTTTTTCAGATAAATGATGAGGACAGTAGAGGTATACACACACACATACTTGCTAACATAAAAGATACTACGCTATTGAAGGATGCCAAAAATATTGGAAGAAAAAAAAAAGACACCAGGAGAGAAGATCATAGCATCTGTCAAAACTTATCAAATCAGGATTGACAATTACACATAGATATGGAGCTACAACGTCCTTAAGCAAAAACATAAAAAGCTACACATTTAAACCAGGATTAAGAACTACCCAATAAAGACCTACAATAGTCTTAAGCAAACAGAAACAGCTACACTAGCATTCAACCCCAAAAGATGCAGCAATAGATAAGCTGACGAAGCTTTTCAAGTAGCTGGCTTCTGCTTCTTCGGCATCCGATATCCACCAACAACACAAGCATGGTCTCGCTCAAAAGGTTCAAGAGTGACTTGCTCCTCAGGCTTGAACTGCTCAGCCTGCAGCTTCTTTACTTCTTGAGCAAACACAGCTTCAGCAGGTACGGTGGAGTCTATGCAATTGGCCTGGGCAAAACAAACTTATTAGATATACTCAAGTTTGTAGGGGGGGAAAGTAGCGGGGCACTTGTCGCGATCTCCTTCCTCTATGATTTGCTATAACCACTTAATAGTACAAAGGATGCATTTGCAATTAACCCCTATCAGAAACTATTTCTTGTATATAGCATATAATCACTAGAACCAAAATCTAAAAGGACATGGAGGTTACCTTGATGGATATAACAAAGTGACCCCCGTTCTTCAAGAAGTATGAAGCATTCAACGCTAAAATCCTAGCCTGCAGAGATGCAACATCAGGAAAATTAATATGTACGATATCATAACCATAAGCAAGGCATATTTTACATAATATTACAGGTTGTACCCCTTGCTACTGCCTATCCTGCATTTCAGTTGTATGTAGAGATATACCTCAGTACCAGAAGTTGTCTATTTTCAACCTCACTCATACCTTCCTTATGCATTTTCTTTATCACTTGAAAGACTGAAAGAAAACGACCACTGAGAACTGTCAGAGTTGGAATACTTCAGGACTAAGTAAATCCCACGTTTAAGAACAGCAGTACATTGCTGATATCAAATCACCTAATTTAGTTGCCTATGTTTCAGTATGACACTATTAGTCGAATACCAAGAATTGAGTTTTTTTTAACTCAAAGTAGGGTCTAGTCTGGAAAGAATTACAATGACCCCCAACGCATTAGGTAAAAGTTCAATATAAATGAAGAATGTTGTGTCAACTTTAACGGTAACTTAAAGCAGCAACTCCATCATCAATTTAGCTATAATATGCTACCTCAAAGGCACCAATAATACATTTACAGTTAAATAAAACTAATGTGCCAAGCTCTACAAACCTATCGATTGACTCATGACCTCTGCAGATAAAAATAGCTTTGTCACAGACACATGGAGATGAAAACAAACCCTGTGCAAACAAGTTTGGAAAGCTTTCTCCTTGTGCAAATATTGGCCTTGATCCATGAGAAAGGAATGCAGATAAGGCTTATTAAAATGTCTATGGCAAAGGCATAATGAAACCAACTACATGCTCAACAAAAAGCAAAACCCATCACAGATCATAGAGATATTTTCGGCAAAGAGACTGAAGACTAAGGTGATATAAGCAAACCAACTGAATAGCAAAGTAAATAAATTCACATGATAAGTGGTAGATTATCAAGATTCAAGAAAAGGAAACATGCAGTATATTATATATCCTAAAGAAATCATGAGAAAATACAATTTTGAAGGAGAATTGTTATAAGTGAATCAAAGATCTTGAATTTGCATCATTCACACATGCCTTGAAGGGAATCCGATCTATTCTCAATATGCTTCACCTTAAAACAGTAAGTATAGAAAAATAACTTGATAAAATCATGTAAAATAACAACCCCTGCTTCAAAAATAGGGAAAAGACAAGTGTCACATTGCTGACTATCGGACAGAAAATTCAACAAATGCCATATGATAAGATATTGATTGAAGAGACCTTAAAAAAGAAGGAAAATAAACAATTAGGAAAGAATCATACTAACTAATATGTTAGCATCAGAAGCTCGAACCCGCATCACCCAAATGATGTCCTGAAGAGGAATCCGAGTTGCTTTCATCATATGCTTGACATGATAAATAGAAGCAATATGACGATAACACAGCACAAATAATTGATTTGGCAGAAACAAAGCAATGAGCCTTAAGTTTCAGCTGCTTTCAAACAAAGAACAAATTAGGTAAAATAAACTCAAAAAAGTTATTTCAGCTGTTCTTCACTATCCAAATAACAGGTAAATAAAAAGCTCTCAACTACAACCGATTTATCTGGTGCTAAAAATCAAACTTGTCTTCCATATCATCTTTAAATCATGACTGTGCATGCTAATGCTTATAATAATCAAATCATCACAATCATATGGTGCAAAAGAATCTTCAATAATGCAAAATGAAATGATAGGAATGCAAGAGCCAATAGCAACCTGTTCATGGATAACTGATTCCATAAGTATTAATGAACTTGCATATGAAAGCTGCAATAGTCACATATGGCCCAATAACATTAATTCATTAAAGAAAACACCGTATTGCACAAGTAATTAACTTTAACAAAGATAAGATCATGAACATAAAAAATGCAGAACATCCAAGAGTACATGAATACTGCAGTTACAGACAAACAATAATATAAGGGCAAACAGAAACAGCACGTAGCCCCATCATGTGCTTAACTGTTAAAAGAATATTGAGGCAGATGGAATGACTTGAAACAAATACCTGATCTGGCTGAGCAACATCAGAGAAGATAACATCAACCATTCCAACTAACATTCTGTACTTTGCAGGATGCCTAGCGTCTTCAATAATGGGAATAACATTTGTCCGCTTCTTTGCCATGTTAACAAGGTCCCTTCCACTTCTATGTGAAAACTCAACAGCATAAACCATTCCAGTCTGCCGAACAAGTCAAAATAATAGAGAAAACTTCAGCAAGCAACTTTAGGATAGCACTTGATGATCTGGACAAGGAAATATCCGGAATAAAAGTAACTTACAGGCCCAACAATATCAGATACGTGAGAGACTGTAGTTCCTGATGCAGCTCCAAGGTAAAGCACCCGAGCTCCAGGAGCCTAAGAAATCGAAACATTGAAGTCAAATCAATAAGCGTAAGGAGAATGTCCAATATAAGGGAATCATATACAAAGAAAATTCCAGAATGAAGAACAAGAGCCTAAACAAGTAACGGTTTCAATTATGGGGCAGCTCCCTGCCATATGTCAACCTAATTGTATCATCAAGATCATCAAGGAAAGGATCAGACTGAAACAACCATTTACAGCAATTATCAATTTCAGACTAAATATACGTAACAAGGTAAGTGAAATAAAAGATGGTCAGGGAGCACAAAACACATGCAACTGCTAACTTTCCTGCGTATGCAAAAGAAAGTGTATATGAAATCCGGATGCTCGACTCATGCAACCACAAGCAAACATTGTGAACTAACTCAATGGTAGGTATAATTTTCACATAAATGTAATAGAATAAAAGGAATAAGAAACAAAAAAAGAGGGAAAGAACCCTTACAATGTAAATCCTGTCAACACCACCCAGAATGGCTGCTGCAAGCTTCGATCGGAAAGGATTCCAAACCCTGTATTCAACCTTGGTTCCATCTTCATTCTGCATTGAACATTCAGCAACGAAGTAAGTGCCCACACAACAAAAATTAAAATAAATGATTCAAGAAACCCTCCTAAACATTGTTGCACAAAACCCACATACAACCTATAAAAAAAAAGAGAAACCCCATTAATTTTTCAAATCATACAGCACTCGCTTTGAACTATTGAAAATTGACACAATCAGCATTAGCATGTAGGGTGGAAGCTATAAACTACCCTAAAAAGATACCTGTCCTAAAACAAAAAACTATCTTTCGGTAGTATTAAAAAGTACATGAGTAACATTGTTCAAAACATATTGCTAGCAAAGGATGTGACGACCTAAACTAGTTGTGGTCAGCCAGTCATGGTATTTTAGTGAAAGAAATTCAAGAGGGATTCTTATTTCTTAAAGTTTAGGGAGATTTTTCATTTTTGTGCAAAACACTCCAAGTTTCAGGGGTGTTTTCAGAAATTTACGCTTAAAAGTGCCCCATAATCAATAAAAGCTTATAAAAACCAAGAACAATCACCTGCACAGCAACGCGCTTCTCACCATAAACGGATTCACCGACAACCATGTTCTTGGTACAAAGGGCATCTTCCTTCCCCTTGGCAACGAAGACTCCATCATGCCTATGCGGCTGAACCACTACTTTGCTTCCTCCCTTCATTCCACCTCCACGGCCACCACCGCGACCTCCACCACGCCCTCTTCCACCACCACCTCGACCAGCACCGCGTCCTCTTCCACCACCACCCCGGCCTTCAGGACCACCTCGGCCTCCACCTCCTCTTCCTCGGCCTCTGCCACCATCACTCCTGCCCCTGAATCCACCACCTTGAAAGTTCAAGGGGGAAATGTATGTAGAACTATTAAGATGCGTCTGAAATTGCACAAAGGACAAGAAGAAAAAAAACACTCTTTGAAACACTTTGATAGATCAAGTACGCAAAAGTCTAAGGTGATAATTATACAGACACACAATAATTTATGGGGCAAGTAAAAAAAATTCTTTCAGCATTGATATAGCAAGGTGTAAAGAACAAATCCGACAAGATGCTACCTTTTTTCCTCAAAATCACAAAAAGCCCAAAGAGTTATCTGAAGCAACTCGAGGGATAAACCCTAAAACCTAGTTTACGCTGAAAATAGTCATCGAGAAGAGATAAATTGAAAAATTGTCACTGAAACAATAAGAATTCATACAATAAGGTGCTCTCTTTTTATTCTCAAAAAAAAATAATAATAAGGTGCTCTCTTTATGCTCAAAGTCACAGAAGATCAAAGAGTTCTTTGAACCAACTTAATAGAGTCGAACACTAAAGCTAACTCAAGCCATAAAATAAAAAAAAAAAAATAAAAAAATAAAAAAAGAGAGATAAGCGATGAGAAAAGGGGATTAAACCTCTTGGAGGTCTCATGGCTGCTATTGAGATGAATGAGGGATGGAATGGGGTTCTATTTTGGGGTTTAGGGTTTGGGATTTTCGGATAATCCCCCTGAGGAGTTTCACTAATTACGAACGCACCACTGAGGGTTAAAAACCAAAAAAGGCAAAACTTGAAGAGTTATCTGCACTTAAAACGTCTCAAAGTTTACACCTTTATTAAGTTTGGTAACCAAGAAACCTAAATGTTCGAATCTTTGATGCCTAAAATGACATAATGGGGTACGAAAACTAAATTTTTTGAACTTTAAGATATTTCTTGGTCAAAAAACTTCAGTCGCCGAGGTTAACTTGTTGGATTAAATCTAATTATGGGCATATATGTTACATTAGTGTATAATGATATCCTTAAGGTTAACCCGCATAAAGTGATCAATAAATTTGGGTTAATAAATATTTAAATAAATCATGGGCTAAATGTGCGGATACCAGGTTATAATTATAATTTGATGATGGGCTAAATTATAAAAGAACAACAACTACAAATAAGGGGTTATGGTCCGGTCACATTCTCTATTCTCTTAATCCCAATCTAAAGAGATTCTAAAGGAGAGACCCTCAAGATTAGAAGATCAAACTCTAATTCAGAGTCGTGCTAATTCTTCATGGATTCAGGTATTGCTTCCGCTCACTGTTGTGTTTATTCTCTTTGGATTAATCATGGTTTTATGGATTAGATCTCAGTTTTAGATCTAATAAGTGGTATCAGAGCCACCGTGTTTAATTCTTTGAGATTTATGGTTAAGATTAAGAATTTGGGGTTTTTTGATATTAATTTGGCTTGATTAAGATCGGATGCACGTCTGTGCAAATATGATATGTAGGATGAAAAATTTTAATTTTTTTATTTTTTCTGTTTACTTTGGAACTGTAGCACGCATGAACAGTAATAAAAAAATCATTTTTTTCCTTTTGATTTGATTTTCTCTTTCGGTTGTTGAATCTGGATCAAACTCTTGATCCAGATTGTGAGAAAATCATCAATTTTATGAATTTGGGATCAACTCATTGATCAAGATTGTGTGCAACCAAGTTCATAATTATCAAAATTTGAAATTTGGATTAAGTCATCGTTCACTTAACTCCTCGCTAGCGATGTTCGCTGGCGGCCCCGCTATCAAAGGAAGACATCGACAGTGGCATCAGGAAGCCCTAGGGTTTCGAAACCCTAGGGTGCGGGAGCTTAAGCAGCGGTGATGACGGTTCAGAATGAAACTCTAAAGGGGTGTTCGTGCAGGAAATCGTGCGTGAAAACGTGCGGAAAATTAGGGTAAAAGGAGGAAGTTACCTCAATTTTAGGCGAGCTTTAGGGCTTGAAAGTTTCAGCGATCTTCGGTTCGATCTCAAACGAGCCCTGGGTTCGTTCTCAAGTTGAACCCCGCGTTCATTCTCAGGCAAGCCTCGTGCTCAGTCAAACGAACCACACGTTCATTCTCAAACGAACCCTGCGTTCGTTCTTAGGTGAGCCTCGTGTTCAATTCAAACGAACCCTGCGTTCGTTCTCAGGTGAGTCTCGTGCTCAATTCAAACGAACCTTGCGTTCGTTCTCAAATGAACCTCGCGTTCGTTCTCTGTGGTTTTTTATTTTTCTGTCGGGTGAAAGAAAGCTTTGCCCGCAACTTTCTCATTTGAGTTAGGGCACGAGTTTCAAACCCACTTAAGATGTTTACCTGGGTTGAGTTGTCACAGACCCATGTAAGATGTTTTTTTTCTTTCAGTGCCTTTTTCCTTGTAGGCCTATAAAACACTTGTTTGGGCCTTTAATGTAGTGCTAGAAAAGTCAGTAAGGCTGTGGACATGTGATTTCAACCAACTAAAACCAATTTAATTATTGAGTTGAGAGATAACAGTCCAAGCACACTTAAAGACATTCGGTTATGGGCCTAAAATTCTTTAAGAATGGTTTAATTGGATATACCAATTAAAACATATTTTGGTGGGCCTTATTAAGTTATGGGCCCAATTTTTAGTGTGCTTGATTTAATTAATTAAGCTATGAGGCCCTTAATTAAGTTTTTTTGGAAATTCAGTTAATTTGAATTAAATTATTTAATTTGAATTAAATTTAGTAGTTAATCAATTATTTTTTTGGAAATTCAGTTAATTTGAATTAAATTATTTAATTTGAATTAAATTTAGTAGTTAATCAATTATTTAATTCAAATAATATGACACTAAGGTAAAATTATTTAATTTGAATTAAATTTAGTAGTTAATCAATTATTTAATTCAAATAATATGACACTAAGGTATTAAAGTTATTTCTCATTCTAAATGATTAATTAAAACAAGAAGTTGCCAAAGTAACATCTCTTGTGTACATTGTTCATGAGGGATGTTAGATGTTTGTGTGTATGTTTTCGTGTAAATATTTAATCGGCTCAAAGGAAGGTTAATATTTATTTAGACTGCATACACATCTGTGATGATAAACGTGTGATAATTATAAGGTTTGCATGTTAATAATGAATCGATCCAAAGATAGTTTCATTATTTGACTTGAGTTATTGTCAATGTTTGATCATTGCAACAAGGTATCACTTATAAATTAATATTACTGTCCAAAGACTTGATATTAATGTTGTGCCAAATATCTTGAGATGGGATTTGTTAATATTTGAATTTTATTGATTACTAATTAGAGTTAATAATGTGAGTATCTTTTATTTATTTTAGCTAATGCATCTGTTATAATAATTTTTACTAACATCAACTCAATTCTCATGCTCAATGGGACTAATTTTAAGGTTTGGAAAGAGAACATATTAATTGTTCTTGGCTGTATGGATCTAGATTTTGCATTAAGAACTGAACAACCCCAACCTCTCAATGCGGATAGCACTCCTGATGCAAAGAATGGGTATAAGAAATGTGAGCGTTCAAATCGCATGAGTCTCATGATCATTAAGCGCGGTGTTTCGGAAGCCTTCAGGGGCATAGAATCCGAATGGATTACTAAGGCTAAAGATTTTCTTGCTGAAATTGAGAAATGTTTTGCGAAAAACGATAAGGTAGAAACAAGCACGCTTTTAGCTTGCTTGATTTCGATGACGTATAACGGCAAAGAAAATATCAAGGAGTACATTATGGAAATGTCTCATATTGCTTCAAAACTTAAGGCACTCAAACTCGATCTCTGTGATGAGTTACTGGTGTATCTGGTTTTGTTATCTCTTCCTACACAATTCAATCAGTTTAAGGTCAGTTATAACTGTCAAAAGGAGAAATAGACTCTGAATGAGCTCATTTCATACTGTATGCAAGAAGAAGACAGGTTGAAGCAAGATAAGACTGAAAGTACTCATTTGGCCTATGCCTCTAAGGATAAGGGTAAGAAAAGAAATAATGATAATGATGTTGCTAAGGGTCCTGTTCAGAAGAAATAACAAAAGGATGGTCATAGTTGTTTCTTCTGCAACAAGTCTGGACATGTAAAGAAGGAATGTACCAAATATCACGCCTGGCATGCTAAGAAGGGTATGTTTCTTACTTTGGTCTGTTCTGAGGTTAATTTAGCTTCAGTACCTAGAAACACTTGGTGGTTAGACTCTGGTGCTACTACTCACATAAGTGTTTCTATATAGGGTTGCCTGAGCTACCGAAAACCAAGTGATGTTGAAAGACACATCTTTGTGGGCAATGGACAATCAGTAGATGTGGAAGTAATTAGGCACTCTAGGTTGTTGTTAGGAACTGGTTCATATTTGGATTTAAAAAATACTTTTGTAGTACCGTCTTTTAGTTGGAATTTGATTTGAGTTTCTATATTAGACAAATCAGGTTATTTTTGTTCATTTGGAAACAATCAATTCAGATTATCTTTTAATTCAATTATTGTGGGAACTGGTTACTTGAGTACTTATGACAACATATATTTGCTTGATATAATTGCTTCTTATAATGAATCCTTGCATATGGAATCACGTGGTACTTGTTAGGTCTCATGTTATGAGCATACATCTTCTAATCTTGTTTTGATGATTACAAATAATTCCTAATATTGTTTGTCTAGTATTTATGTTTTCTTATTAGGTATTCTAGACAAACAATACGTTAGAGGATGGATGGTACTGAGCCTACACGATCACATCAAATGGAGGTTGGCGGAATAGTGGAGTGAAGCTATGCATTCTAGTCATATTCAAGATCAAGCTTCATTCGTAACCAAACCAAGCTACAATGAAGATCTATCAAGTTTGGGTAAATTAGTTTAGAGTTTATATAATGTGTGTTAATTCTATAAGCTCAAACATACACACACACACACACACACACACACACACACACACACACACACACACATATTTGTGATTTTCTCAAATATAGGTGGTTTTATGCAAAATATTATGTTTATGGATTAAAGACTTATTTACACTATTTTCATATCTTGTATAAGTCTATAAATCCATTCTAAAGTGTTTCAAAGTTTTTGTTTAAGTCATTTTGGCAAAATCAAGTTTTCAACATGTTCATACTTATGTGATCAGGTAATATATATATACTTTGCTTTTTTTTTTAATTAGATGATATCATACACACTGATACACACTGATACAAACTGTTACACACAAACTCTAACTCTAACCCTAACACAAAGACCAAAATATATACTTATAATGTTTTTATGTGATGGTGGTGTTGATGGTGTATGTGTGCGTAGTGTTGGTGGTATTGGTTGGTGGGTTGGTTGGTTGGTTGTGGTGTTGTGTTGTGATGGTCATTATGTGATTGGTTTGTGGGGGGGTTTGGTCGTGGTGGGGGGGGGGGGGGTGATTGGTTGGTGGGTGGGGGCTTTGGTCGTGGTTGAGGATGGGGAGTGGGGATTTTGTTGTGGGGGGGGTGGAGGGGGAGAGGTAGGGGGAGGGGGAGTGTGGTTGGTTGGTTGGTGGGGTTGGGGGATTTGCGTTGTGTTGTGTTATGTTGTGGTGTGATGTGTAGTGATGTGTTGTGCAGTGTAGTATAGTGTTGTGTTGTGTTG